TGCATGTGCCTTTTTTTAAAATAGAACTTCTTTATCACATTTCTTTATATAGAATGAGAAGACCTACATATGCAATGCAGTTATAGCACATCAGAAATTCACTAGCATTTTTAATGCATCTCTACAGGAGCAACCAGAACGAGATAGATGACCTTTTCACAGAGGCCAGCACAATCTGACGGCAGTGATGGGTGCCCACTTTGCCCTTTAAATCTTAGGTGGTGTGTCTCAACGCAATAAGAACAAAAGCTGTTTAATGTATTGGCTTCCATATAAATTATTTGCTCAAAGACAATATTGAAATTCTGATGCATTTATCATAGCATTTTCCTTATTGATTCTTGAAATTAAGATGAAAGTGTTCCCTTCCTCTAATTGCTCTGTCCTATCTATTTCTGCTTGACTTCTTGGACAGAATCTGATGAAAGGCATGCAAGTACTGACACAAGGGGACAGCTTATGAGGATGCAGTTTAACAGCACTTGGGATGTTCTGTGGCTCTGATTATGTTCGGAAGTTGACATATACTCTCCGACAGCATTCACTCAAACAATAGATGCAACATAGGCTATTTCTAAGTATGGGCCCAGAAAAGTCACCAGACTTACAGTGGCAAATACATATTCATTCTGCTGAATCTCTCCTTACCACAAGGGAAGACATGAGCTGTCACTGACCTCGCACTGCACTTTAAATGAACTTGGGAGAAACAAGATGTTTTGCTGCCTCCTGGCAAAACTAGGCCAAAATGTGCCCTCACCGGTATCCTGCTGATATCTATTCTCCTATACTAATAAGTCATGGTAATTTGCTAATGATTTCTTGCAAGGGAGGGAGGGATTCCATCAAAACTTTTTTGCATTTACTTAATCTTACTCAATAGTTTGCGGCTATTTTTTTCTTGCTTTTTACACTTAGTGCCAAAGGCTACACATTTCAGCTCTTCTTGGTAGCAGCTAAAATTGTCACTTACTGAACTTTGCCCTTCCCTGTTACTACATGTAACTTCAGAGGTTAGCTAACCATATGACAGAGGATGTAATCATACTGGGCACTCCCACGTTGGAGCACTGGAAAGGATGGCTCTCTAGTGTTTTCCTGTGTTCCGTCTGAGGAGGTGGATAGGGGCCTCTCTCTGACTTTCCACTGGGCTTCAGAGGTGAGGAGATTCAATGGAGAATACTTGTTTTTAATGGCTAGCATGACCGAGAAGGAGAGGAGGACTGCAGTAAACATAAAGAGGCAAATGAGCTCAAAAGGCAAACAAAGCTTCAGGTATACTGACTGCTTTGTTGGGTGTCCTTGCTTTTTGTATATTATTGGATGAGTGGCCTGGCTGACTGGGAGCATTCTTGGCACACGCGTCAAGCTGTTTTTGCAATATTGTTATTTTTCATTCATTTTGCATATAAGGATGCCTTGTCAACTTGAGACACTTGTTCTTGATGGCCTTCAGGGAGATGAGGCAGATGAGTGTGTTTGTGTCTATCTGAATGGTGTGTCTATGTGACTTGGGGGGCATGTTTGTGTGTACAAGAGATTGAGAATAAGAAAAACATCTGAACACATCAAACACAACACAATAAGCCATGGAGGTTTACAAGTCAGGGTTGGCTTGTTGTGTGGTAAGAATTCACCAGCAGCGCCTGTCAAGCACTCTGGCTAGAGTCAGACAACATGACAAGCAACCCCTGCCTTATAAGCCACAGTGGCTTATCATGTTGTGTGAACCCAGGATCTGTGTGAATGGGGAGGAGATGCATGCATAAGAGACAGACAGAGACAGAGAGCGCACCTATGTATGCATGTAAATATGTGTGTTTTGTTCCAAGCGATATCACCTTTATCACCACCATTTGCAAAGGGATAAATTGTGGCGATTTCTCTCAGAACTTGCTGCAAATGTTTATTTCAGAATAATCAAGTACTGCTTCTGAATAAATATGCCTTCTCATTGTTTCTCACTCTGTTTCTCAGTAGGCATACAGAGCAGAGGCCTTGGGAATGCTTTGCTGTATGTATGCGGCTAGGTGGATTCTGGATGCTTGCTAAACTTGCTGCTGAGTTCCAAAATCTGCCTAGTTCTGAACTTATGATAATGATATTGAGGTCACTGATGAACCAGGCATGCCTCCTCTCTTTTACCTTTTGCAATGATTTGCAAAGGATTATCAGCATCCGGCATTATCATTACCATTTAACCAGGTGGATTTCCTACCCCAGACATACATACAGAGACACACTGTGTACTCACAAGCATAAAGCTTATTTGCCCCATTTCCTCCCTTTATGTAATACTGCCTGTTAGGTACTCAGGAGATCTGCCTCTGGCAACTGTTTGCTATAGTTCTGCTGACACTGCCCTCCACCAGCCTCAGAGGACACTGGCTCTTAGCTCCATATACTCTGAAGGCATTCGCCTCCCATTCTTACACCTCTCTTAAGCCTTCATCTCTGTGCCACTACCTGAAAATAATTGAAAACAATTACACAGCTTGAAACCCCCGAAACCCCCCACAACAAAATAAAGCAAAATAATTAAAATCAGGAGATGTGAAGATGCCTGGGGGACTCTCTATACCATAGGGTATGGTGGAAATAACAACCATGAAATGAACTTTAGGCTTGGATTTCTTTAAACGATGAAGGAGTGAATTTTAAACTAGAAAAAGTCAGACGTGAGATAACAACCCTTGAAAAATCAACAGCTCTTAACTTTCCTCTTTTTCAGCACCAGATTAATAGTAGAACTGTTATGTCTGCAGGATGGAATTCACAGTTTGCAGAGAAACACCTAGAGCAAGCAAGTTCCTAATTTACCACTGAGTACCAATGACTGAACTTCCTCAGGCTCAGTGCTGAATAGGAGCAGCAATTACAATTACTATTGAAGCCACAAGAACTAAAGGAAGGGAAGGGCCTGGACTGGAAAAATGCCACACATTATGAGCACATGAAATTGGCACCCCACAGCAGGGGAATTACAAAGTTCAGCAACAGTGCTGAGTAAGGAGGTTAGCAACAGGGTGCGGTTGAAATACCCAGAAATTCTTGTGAGAAATGAAAATTACTGTTACTAAGCGGTAAGGTGAAAACTGAAAAAGGGTGGAATAAAGGGCTAGGGTAGGATCATTGAAACCTTTTCAGGCCAAAGGGCCTGAGGACAGAACCATGTAGATAGTTGTAATAAAAGTAACAGTGCTTCTTACATCAACGTCCTGAAGAACACAAGGGGGGTGAAGTTGGGGGGCAGTGGTAAAACTGTCACCTTTTGTGGAAGGGAGTAGGAAATTGATTGCCTTTTACAACTGGCCGTAATGAGCCTGGAGGAAGGCCTGTTCGTCCTATCTCATCCTCCCACAAGAGTTAGGAAATAAGTGGGCATCAAGTGAGAGGCTACACGGCCAAGCCGACCTGTTGAACTCTTAGAAGGTAGTGCGCATGCTTAATAGGTTCATGAATAGTAACTGACACACCTCTCATAGGTAATGGGCTCATTAGCATGGACATGGAACGTATGAACGGGAAGGGGAACGTATCAGGAAGTGGTATGATGTAGGCAGACGGTGAAGATTGTAAACTCTTAGTAACCCAGCCAGTGGGAGAAAAGAGGTAGGGTCTGCAAGCCGGGAAAAGGGAATAAAAAGCAATGTCTTGTGTGAAAATGGCGCGCTGCCTGTGTGGTGGGCACCCACTCTTGCAAGAACATATTAAACTGTTACTGCTTGGTACTTTGCCTCCCGTATCATCACTGCTTGGATTTCATTCCTTGCATTCTTTGTGTAAGAATTATGAGCAACGCTGTGTCTGTGGCAAGAAGAGCAGAATTCAATATTCAGTATTTATTTTGGCTTCCTGAATATTTCAGGTCTCTGTAAAAAGGGGAAGCGTGGGAGGAAATTGTTAGTAGCCATAGCTAAACATGGCTGCTGAAATCTCAGTTGTATGAGATTTTCAGTGTATGTATGGAGTTTCACTGCTTCACTCCCAGAGTACATTCTGCAAGGTATTACAAATAATGTATGTTTATTCAATTCATGTAAATTTATGAAGATTGGGGAATTCTAATTTTCTGAACACAAGATTCAGAAATACATAATGTTTATATTACCCAGATCAGATGCTCAATCAACCAGGACTGATAATTGATAACCAAAAATTAATTCCATCACGTAACCAAGGGTTCTCACTCACTCACTCACTCACTCACTCACTCACTCATTTATTTATTTTTTTAAAACATTTTTATCCCATCCTTTCTGATAGTGGCTCAGGAGGGCTTACAATGATGAAATAATAATACGATAATACAATAAAACTGTAATTAAAACAATGGATAATAGAAAACAAACACTTTCCTAAAACTAAAGAAAAGTCATAAGTCATAGAATCTGGGTATGTTTTATTTTAGGGCTGGGTTTTTTTGCTTTTTTCTTTAAGACTAGAGTCCCCTAACTGATCAAGTTGGTAATCCTATTCTGTACTGAAAAACACTCATACACACAGGGGAGTATCCAGTGTGGCCTAAGTACTAAGGTAAAGCATGCTGCACTCTTGTAAAGGACTTGTGGAGTATCACAAAAAGCATTAGGCACCAGATTCCCCAGCACACCCATTGTGCCTGCTAGAGTTACTGGTGTCGTTGTGCTCATGCTAGAACCACACACTTACACGACGGCTTGTTTGACACTGGCAATCGTAAGGCATGGTTCCCGAAAACACAGCCACTTGAACAACATGTGACCATGGTGCTAAGATTGAAAAACATCCATACCGGATCTATTTCTCAACCATATAAGTGTCTTGCTTTTTAAAGTGTGTGTGTCTGTGCGTGCGTGCGTGTGTCAGAGTGAGGCACCGTCGGAGATAAACCATGCTTAGTCTGATCTGAATTGCTGTAGTGTTCTTGTTAAAAACCACCATCTGTCAGAGATTATCCTATTTTACAGGGAGGAACATGCATTAATTATTAATTCTATTCCTCGTAGAAATGTACTCACACAAGATCAGGACTGTCCTTGGCGTGAAAGCAGCATTAGTGGTCTTAGCAGGTAGTCTCTGGACAGAACTTAGAATGGATCCCTGGAGTGCTCTCAAACAGATGAGCTCTTTCAGGGTCAGCCCACCAGCCATGAGGCAGAAGCGTTACACTGTAAGTGAAGTGCCAGAAACAAATGCTGAATGAATTCTCACCACCAAGAAAACCTCAGGGGTGCCACGAAGACGGGTTTAACTAAACAAACAAACAAAGTGGGAGAGAAGAATGCACTCCAGGGCAGCCTCCCCCAGTCTGGTGAGCCCAGGGTGCTTTGCATTACTTAGCCAAGCATTCCTCACCACTGGCCATCTTGGCTTGGGCGGATGGGAGTCCAAAATATATGAAGGGCACCAGCTTGAGGAAGGATAAATTGGAGCAACAATCCAGTAAAACAAGAGCAGATCCTATAGGCCGCATACGGTCCCCCACCCTCCGCACCCAGGCCTTGTATGTGGCCCTCAGCAACCGCTGTCTGTCAACAAGTGCCATGGCTCCCACACTGTGGATGAGAGCAGGGAAGGAGAATCAGCTTCCCACTCCCCCAGTGATGCAAACTCAACTAGGACTGTGGTTTCCATGGCAACAGCAACTCCAAAGTGCCCAGCATTGCTTTAGCCTCCCCATCCCTCAGGGACCCAAAGCAGATGACTGGGTCCTAAACTGTGGTTAATTTTAACCATGCTTTGTAAAAACAAGTCAGCTTTTTAAACTATGATTTGAAGGCATCTTTTTTCCTAACCTGAGTTTGAACAATTAACCATGTTTTGTCCTGTTTCACTAGAACAGTGAGCTGCAGTTCATCACAAATGGAAGCAAAAGCTTCCAAGCTCCTTCTCACAACTGTGCCAGCGGAGGCACAGCACATGAGCCATGGGGAAGCGCCAGCCATTCCCGTAACAGTAAACTATGGTTTAGCGTTATGTCCAAACCCATGCTTCAGCTGTTTCATTATACCTCTCTATATACCAAGATATAAGCTGAGTACAACCAGGCAACCAGGGTGAAAATACCCCCTTAGACTTGTTTCTCTGGGCAAATACAAACTGCAGTTCTCTTGCAAACTGTACAGCATCTGCATGAGGGGATAAAAGCAGGCGCTACTAAAGCCTGGAGCCCATAGTCATGGCCACAAGTCTATTACCAGGAGGGAAAAAATGGAGCAAAATTGGAGAGCTCAAGCAAGCAATTTGAAAAGCAAGCAATGGCAGGACAGAGAAAGTGATTCCTGGTTAATGCATTTCAAATAATAATAATAATGTTTCTTCCAAGGAAGCAAAGGGGCGCTTTGGCTCTGAGTGATTACATCTCCACTTCTCTTTTTCATGTCTGTTCTGAGGAAACTGCCATAAGTGTGTGTGCGTGTGTGTGTGTGTGTGTGTGTGTTAAAACAGTAAATCTAGCCATGTTCCACCCTTCTTCATGTGGGTGAATATAGTTCTACATGCCCTATATTTCTACTTTTCTTTACAAAGTTATGTCAAACAGAGAAGCTTTTTAACCATTTGTTCACTTAAAATAGAAAACAAATACATAACTACGCAGAGAGAGACAAAATAAGAATTGTCACCTGAGGAAAGTTGTTGATGAACACCATGGTCATGGATTCCGAATGTATTTTCTCAGTGAAATAAAGTTACTCTTAACTAGCTTTAAGATGATATTTAAGAGACACCGTCCCATTGACTATAAACGATTGTAGAGGAACAATGCAACCAACTATATCTTGTGTGTGCTTCTTACATTTTCTAGTGAGGATTCAGGTAAATATAGCATCTTTTCTTATTGTTTAACCTGTCATACTAGCAAGTGTTCATATTTTCACCATTTTTCTCTCATACTTTCTTTTGCATCTCTGAAGTCAGGTAAGAACTGCTTCCCAAAAAAAAACCAAACAAAAAAACCCCTAACCGTTATTCTTCAAATAAAGGCTTGTCAAAACCACAACTTGAAAATTGAAAGACCACATACCTACGGAGCATCAGCTCTTGTAAAAATATATACCAAATCTTCCATCTTCCTGGCTAGTGTAAAAAAATCACCCGTTGAGAAAAGCAGGTTGCTTACCTGTAACTGATGTTCTTCGAGTGGCCATCTTTGCAGTCACACTGCGCCTGCACAGTGCCTAGGCCAGAAAGATTGAAAGCTAATGGTTTTGGTGGGAAAACCTCTGCTCCCCCTCCCCTCGGTAGTATATATAGAGCAGAGTGTCCTCCATTTTCTCCAGTCTTTGGAGACCGTACGTTCGCCACCCCATGGAAGAAGATGGCATAGCAACCTAGTATGTACCGACACATTCCCTTTCGGTACCAACGTTACAAGTATGAGGTACCGAAGCAGTATTATACAGTACCGACAACGAAACCACTCACCAACACTGAGCGGGGCCGGAGGGTGGGTTGTGTGACCACAGATGGCCCCTCGAAGAACATCAGTTACAGGTAAGCAACCTGCTTTTCTTCGTCGTGGTCTCAGTGCATCACACATATGGGTGAATAGCAAGCTTACCAGAAACGGTGGCGGGAGATGTCGCTATTGAAGGACGGCAGAAAGAACAGCCCTCCCGAATGAGCAGTCTCGTCTGGCACGCACGTCAAGACGATAGTGCTTCGCGAAAGTACAAGGCGTAGCCCAAGTTGCAGACCTCTTGGATCGGGACACCCGCAGCAAACGCGGAGGAAGCCGACACCGCTCTAGTGGAATGGCCCCTTGGAACAACAGGTAAGTTCAGCTTTGAGAGTTGGTATGCCAACAAAATGGTTTGAACGATCCATTTCGACAGTCTCTGAGACGAAACAGGCAATCCTTGGTCTCGCTCAGAATACTTTACAAAAAGTTTATTGGAACGTCGAACAGATTCCGTGTGCGATCTATAAAAAGCCAGGCATCGTCTAACATCTAAGGTGTGCAAGAGCCTCTCGACCGGGTTCGACGGTGACAGGATAAAGGCAGGCAGCACAATTTCTTGGTTCAGGTGAAATGGTGTGACAACTTTAGGCAAAAAAGTAGGGTCCATCCTCAGGACCACCTTTTCCTTATGGAAGTTTAAATAAGGTGGATCGATTCGAAGAGCACAAAGTTCACTGGCTCTATGGGCTGAAGTAACTGCAACTAAAAAAGCCGTTTTCCATGAAACAAGGCGTAAATCGACAGTGGCTAACGGTTCGAACGGTGGTTTTGTAAGCACCTGTAGGACAACTGGGAGACTCCACATCGGCATAAATGGCCGAATAGACGGGTGTAGATTCTGCAGGCCTTTAAGAAATTTCCGAATAAGCGGCTGTGAAAACACAGACAGCCCCTGTACTACACCATGATAATGTGAAACTGCAGCTGCATAAACCTTAATTGAGGAGGGTTTCAGTCCCAAGCGATGCAGGTGCAGCAAAAACTGAAGAATGTTCTCAACCAACTCCGTAAGCGGGTTAAACGAGCTAGATTCCATGAAGGATGAAAAATGACACCACTTCGCCACATAGGACTTTCGGGTGGACGGTTTTAGCGCAGACTCGAGAATCCTTACAACCTCCAAATCCAAAGAACTCGGTCCCGACAATATTCCCATCGGTACCGAATCAGTGAGGGGGTCTGACCGATCATGAGTTGAGGTACCTAGTGATCTATTAGATCCCTGTTCCGAAACAGTCCCTTGAGTCAATGAATCCTCCACGCAGTGAGGTTCAATGATGACAGGTCCGGGTGACGGATGGCCCCGTTTTATTGGGTTAAGAAATCTTGTGTGAGTGGAAGGTGAAGGAAATTGCCCTCCAGGATCCGAAGGAGAGTGGAGAACCACGACTGACGAGGCCACCAACGTGCTATGAGTATTCCCGTGGCATCGTCGTGCACGATCTTCGGGACTACTTTGGTCAGCAGAGGAATAGGTGGGAATGCATAGAACCTGAGATTTGTCCATGTAAGCATAAGGGCATCTCCCATCGATCCCAGTCCTATGCCCGCCCTAGAGCAGAACCTTTTGCACACCTTGTTTCTGTTGGTGGCAAAGAGATCTATGTCCGAATGTCCCCACAGTTGGAACAATTGGGTGCAAACTTGCTGGTTTAGTTCCCATTCGTGGGTGATCGACATGTGTCTGCTCAGGGAGTCTGCCTCTTCGTTGTCGGTTCTGGCCAGATGGACCACCAAAAGGGTTATGCCTCTCGGGATACACCCAAATGTCCATGGACAGGTGCGCCAGGGTGGTGGATTTTGTGCCGCCCAGCTTGTTGATATAGAATACCGCCACTATGCTGTCTGATGTGAGCTGTATCACCCGTTGATGAAGAACGGTTTTGAAGGACCATAGCCCTTTGAATATCGATAACAGCTCGAGGTAATTTATGTGGCTCAGCGATTCCTCGTGGTTCCACATGCCTTGGAATCGAAGCCCTGCGCATACCACACCCCATCCGACCAACGAAGCGTGGGTGTATAGAGTCCTCGTTGGGTGAGGGGTAATGAACGGGGTCTCCACATTCAGATTGGGTGGGGAGACCCACCAAGTCAATGTCTGTAAAACAGTGTGGGGTACACAAAGAAGTTTGTTCGGTGAATCTTTTTGTGGATGAAAGTTCTTGTTGAACCAGAGCTGAAGTGGACGAAACTTCAGCCTGGCATGTGGAACAATGGTGACTGTGGCTGCCATGTGACCTAAAAGTCTTTGTATGGAAAGCGCTGTGACTACGCGGTCTTGTCGAATCCGAGAGATGCAGGCACGGAGACTGTCCTGACGAGCTTGGGGGAGGAATGCCCTCGCCACCGTAGAATCAAGACGAGCTCCGATGAAGTCTATCACCTGTGTAGGAACAAGGGACGATTTTTCACTGTTAACACGAAGTCCAAGGTTGTCCAATAATGTACAAACAGCATGAACAGCTGAGAGTAGGGTTTCACAGGTTTGTGACACTATAAGCCAGTCATCCAGGTAAGGGTAGACTTGGATGCCCTGAAGTCGAAGTTAAGCACAGACGGGAGCCATACATTTCGTGAAGACCCTCGAAGCCGTGGCCAAGCCAAACAGAAGGACATTAAACTCGTAAATGTCAGTTCTGATGGTGAAATGCAGAAGACGCCTATGACTTTGGTGAATCGAAATATGGAAATAGGCATCCTTTAAGTCAAGGGAGGTGAACCAATCCTCTCTCCTCAGCAGCGGAAGAATATTTTGGAGGGTAGTCATCCAAGATTTCTTTGGTTTGATAAATTTGTTGATATTCTGGAGGTCCAAGATCAGACGAAGACCACCGTCTCGTTTCGGGACCGTAAAATATCTAGAGTAGAATCCGTGCAATCCCTCAGAACTGGAAACCCGTCGAATCGCTCCCTTCTGAAGCAGTTGTCGCACTTCAGTCACTAACACCGGGGAGTGCGGTGTAAATCGAATCGGGCTTGACGGAGGAACGGTATCGAATTCTATTCTGTATCTGAGCTGAATAATTGACAGGATTCACCAATCAGATGTAATGGACTCCCAAATGGGGAGTCGGCCTTGTAGCCGTTCCCCAAAAGGGAGGGGGAAGGGTGGGTATGGAGGTGGAGGAGAGGTTTGCACGTCCCATCAGCGTTGACGCTTCTCTGTATCGAAAGGTCAACCATTTTGTGGAAAATGCTGATGAGGTTGTTGCCTTCTGCGTTGTGGCCTTTGCAGCAGCCGACAGCAGTAGGATGG